CATACTAATAATGGGTAGAGCCTCTCGAAACTGAAGCTCATGACCTGTATCTACATGATTTTACACATTGCACTGCTGCCACATGATTGGTTGATTGGATACCTACACATATAAGCAGATGTACAAGGGGTCCTAATAAAGTGCTCAGTGAATGTATGTAACACTGTGCTAAAGGGTTTAGGTTGAAGTTCCATGTCCAAGGCTAAATATCAGCAAGGATAGGTTGGTGAATTATACATTTTCTGTAATTATTGTTTTTTTGTTTGTACCTGGAACTCCACAACATACCATACCATTCTACTCAAGTCTTTGCCAACTGCTGTGGATCCCAAAAGGATGTCTGCTGTGATGGCCCTGACACATCCAAACCCTCCCAACACACTAGAGGATAACTCCCTGCCATCAGAGCAGCTATGCTCCGATACAGGATAATGACTGAAGCAAAACGGGACTAAATCCATTGTATGATAACTTATCTCTCTAAGTCTGTGGGACTTTTTTTTTTTCTTATATGAGGCCTTGCGTTTCATAAACCCCAAATTCATTTCACTCTGTATCTGTGCTGATACAGTTTCCCCGTCAATGAGAGGGAACTCTGGGGCTGGGAGATAGAGAGGGGGAGAGAATTCACCGCACACTGCAGGCGTAGCGGGAAAAGCGAGATAAGAATATTAAACAGGAGAAAGAATTGTGTCTTCTCCTCCAAACCACTAAAATGACTGAGGATGGAAATGAAAAGGGAACACTCAACTTCAGTCTCTAAGAATTCATAGGACAGAATTTAGAGGGCAGAGTGTGTTTCTGTGTATTTGTGCATATGAACATGTGTGTCATAGCACAGTGACAAAAAGTTGTGGTATTGTAAAACATTGTTTTATGAAATGCTATTTCAGTTTAATTATGTAGCATATTTTTGATAAAATGTCTTTTAAGATAATCTGAAATGCCCCAATTGTGCAATTTTGATTTTGTCATTAAACCAAAATTGTGGTCTGAAATCTCACTTTAAATCAGTCATTGTACACCAATGGCTGATTTAAATCTGTGGCATCCAATGACGGTCTTTATCAGCACATTTAGGACCAGATTCTCACAATATGACTGCTTTTACAACCCATGCATACAAACCAAACAATGTGAAAACTTCATGAAAATATTGCAGAACACGCTGGCTGCATTTTCAAAACATGAGAAAGTCTCTGCATATATATTTGTTTCATATTAACATCATAACACTAGAATTCACAAGGAAATCATTTAACAATCTTGCATGCCTCCACCAAATTGATACAAGAGATTGTGAATAGAATTGTGTTAGATCTATTTCACATATACGACATAGAATAAACATATAAGATCTCTACTGTTAGTGCCTTAAGTCCCTTTTGAAAACTGGTCTATTATCTGCATTTAACAGTATCTTAAAAAGGTGGATTTATGTCAGTTATGTCCATATTTATTATGTGAATGCATTTTGATCACTGCCTTGCTTTGAAACAGTAAGACATGAAATGTTTAAAGACAATCTTGCTGTTTACAAATGACACTAAGTCAGAAAATTAATCAGTCCTGATGATGACTGAAAATTGCCCAAGATTATGTTGAGACGTCTTCATTGATTCATGTAGGAGGAGGCGATGGCAGCAGAGCTGCCATTTAGCCTGCCAGTGGCCCCAGGCGATGCTTATTCTCTAGCATTCTTTCTAATGTCTGGCAATTAAAGGCCGTCTAACTGCCTTAGAGAAGGAGAGATGGTGTGAGAGAGAGGAAGAGAGTGAGAGTGACTGTTAAAGAGGGAGGTTCAAAGAGAGACAGGTGGTAGAGACAGAAAAGAAATGAGAGAAACACATAAAGACAGGCACACACACAAATAGACGTCAAAAACTGGATGATCATGTGAAGAAAACTGCCAAGGCTTAACTCTGTTTTATACAGTCTCTATGGTGTGGTCACTAAATACAGCAGCCATTTGTACTGCTGAAATTCTATTTAATTTAACAAGGGGTACTCAGTTGTTGGTGTAATTTTTCACTTCACACTAACAGGCCCCAAGGGACATCCTCTCATCTTCTTTTAAGTGTTATCTATACATTTCAGTGATGTGCTCAGTCCATACACTACAACTGTTCATCAGGCAAATCCATCCTGCTTGGTTTTCATTCACATTAGCAGTTGATGCTAATGCTTTCCATATCTATCAATGTGACAGGCACAGCACGTTGGTTTGTTTCACTCAACGGGAGAAATTAATCACACACATTTAGTGTAACAAGAGAACATTTCAGCTCTGCATTAACTACACTCATGCTGGTTTTGATGGCCATATTAAGACAACATTTTCAGACTTCTCATTGAGGTTATTTGTTAACAGTTCTAACTTAACTGTCATGGCAGCTTTTGGGCTTGCACATATGTAAATTGTATGAGTTTAGGATGAAATTATAGTCTGTGTCATAGTTTTGAGTTCCAGTCTGTTCATTCATTCTTTCATTCATTCAGTCCAGTTGTTTGTGTATAAATGCTGCCTGCCTGCCTTTTCCATTAGTAGTAACTACATTAGAAAATAAAAAAAAAACCCTCTGCAACCCGCGCCTGGACCTCCACCTCCTGTCGTGGTCATTGATGGAGAGCCTGCATATACAGGATAGACTGTAAAGATGGACATAGCCACTGTGACGTCACTCATAGGTTTCCAAAGAGTGATTTTGAAGCTCAGAGTGGAAGCCCTGACCGCGCCTAACTCCCACCTAAACCAAAAATGGGCAAAGAGATGGAGCATGTGTAGAGACAAGACTTTGGTGCATGCTGGTGGCAAGTATACACTCCTGTTACCATGGTTAGCACAGCTGGGAGTCTTGCTCGAAGGCTTACCCAAGGCTAATTCACTTGCCGGCTTATTAGCTAATTAACATGCTAAGCTAACAAGCCAGGTATGGTGAGCACAGACACCGATACCTGCTAATTAATGCTAACATATGAATAAAATAACACAAGAATTTCACTCACCACAAATAATATTTGTCCGACCTTGGCATAAGGTCCTTCAAAAGGCACCAACATCAAAAACACAGCCCAGAGGTCACGATAAGTTATTCAAATTAGCTGAGGTGATGTTTAGCAGACAGGTAGCAACTAGACACTGAACAGCTAGTCAACTGTGACAGCACCCACCTGTCACTCAAAGCAGCCACACCCTCAATTATGCATAACTTCAAGCCTTAATTAAATTTAAATGAGTGAAATATAAAAATTAACCTTTTCTACAGTCTTCATGAAGGGGGAAATTAGCTATAAAGATCAAAACTGTTTTTGTGAAGGCTGTAAACATGTTTATTTCTATGTATGTACAGTTGAGCCTTTTAACATGGGAGTCTATGTGGATTGACTCACTTTTTGAGCCAGCCTCAAGTGGTCATTCGAGGAATTGCAGTTTTTGGCTCTTCTGTGTTGGCTTTATTTTTGTAGCCCTGGAGATTGCCACATGATATACAATCAAGCACCTACTCAAACGGTGTTTTCCGTGCGGCCTATGGGTCCCTGGTTGCTGCATGCTGGACCCGGAGCAGAACTGAGTTCCATCTGTCCCATCCTGACTCTCTAAAAACCATGACAATATGAAAAAGTGCAGACCTTAACTGGATGGTAATGTAATTTCAGTGTCACACTTATGAAAGCCTTTTATGTGTATATGCAGAACAATTTCCTGTTTTCTGGGAAATATTTCTGTGGATAAAAATATCATCATTGACATGTCATTCAAATACTTGTTTTTCCATGAAGGGGCAGTGTTAAAGTGCTCACTGTCAATGGTAGTTTCATGTAAAGTGAAGCATAATGCTGGCACATTATAGGCAGATTACATCTATTAGTTACTGCTGTGCTGCATGTAAATGGCATGCCCATGGGAGAGCAAAAAATCATTTTAAACTTCAATAAGTTACAAGCGGTGGCAAGTCTACCCATAATCTGCACAAAGCCCCAGGCAGCAGTGAGGCTGGATGCAATTAGGGGAGAAATAAAATTCTACACAGTAAACAAAGAAAAAATTTAAAAAGACTGAAAGAGGAATGAACATCCTGGAGTGAGATTACCTCGCCTTTGATGAGGTCGGCTGTTGCTTTCTTTAATTGTCACAGCATAATGCTACTGTTTTGAGCAAGGATAACTATGCCATTTGTTGTACTCTGACAAGGAAAGGATGACTTAAGGCCAACATGTCACACTAATATGACTTTTTAATTAATAGAACATATTTCTTTGTCACTCCAAATAATAACATGTTTCAACTTTAGGAAGATGCAAGAGTGCAGACGTCCTTGCATGTAACATTCAGGTGTACACAAGGGCTTTGTGATGATTTTGCAATCATGTGATGGTGGAGGACGTATGCAAATCATTTACTTGTTTTAAAGTGGCAATACAGCATAATATAAATTACAAATAAAAGTCCCTCATTCAAGAGTTTACTTAAGTATTAGAAGCAAAATGTACAGTGAAATAAGTCATTATTCAGAGTGGTCCCTGTCAGCAATCGTTATTATTGATGTACTGATATGTAAATGGTGCTCCAACGGTGTGGTATGTATACTACAACATTGGAGCACCATATAAATGAATAAATAAATAAATAAATAAATACTGCCTACTACGCAGGATAGCTTTATATTTTCTTGAATAACTCTCTCATAATTTTTACTACATATCATAATTTTCTTAAAAACTGTCTTGATTCATAACGTCTAGAACAACTCATTTATCTACCCTTCTTATTTATGCACTATATCTGCAAAACTGCAACCACCTCGTGATTCAGGAGGTTTTGTGTCTTGAGATGAGTGGGAGTGTCCAGACTATCAACTGCTCTTGTGCTCGTCCACTGTTTTTGTCTGACCGTCCCGCCCAGTCTTTGTCCTATTGGTCCACTTGTCACATACCCGTCTGTGATTGGATGAGAAGTTCGTCAGTCGTCGACGTTGACGTTTAAACCAGGAACTATCAGTGGGAAGAAGTGGTGTGTTGGCATTCTGGCGAAAATCAGATGAAAGTCCAATAAAACGACACTGCGTGTCCACGTACAGCAGTCAGACGTCTCGTGATGCAGAAACACCTCTACTAAGCGACGTCTTCTCTCAATAAACAACGACAGTGTAAGTATGTTCGTGAATACAATGACTGAAGGCTGCCTCTCGTGAATTACATCTACACTTGAATGTTTTACGGTCTGTTGTGTTGAATAAGACTTCGCTCAGAGGCTAATATAACAGTTCTGCTAATTTAACATGTGATTTCTGAAGAAAAAAAAATCCTTCTCCATGTTCTGGTCTGCAGAGAAAAGTAAAAGCCCAAATGCATGTATAGTGGATTAAAAAAAACCCCGATAGTTTGTCAATAGTAGAGTCATTTTACACAATGCCAACAGATTGAGAGCTCTACTCCCCAAAACACCAAGCATTGTTTAAAAGTTGCATGTACAGACAGTTCCCATTTTATTACGTCCACCTAGCTGAAACTGATGCAGCCTTACATATCTGTCCTAAAACAAATCCTACCTTAATAAAAGGCTGCCTATAATGTTTAGTTTTTTGTTGAAACTGTTTAAGTGGTATTAAAATACGTGTTTGAAATATTTTGTTCCGCCCATTAATTTCAATGAGGGTAGACAAACACCTCTTGATATAATGTTATACAACTTAACACAACAGTGTGAGGACTCAGAAAACTGACAGGTTTCCAGAGCCCAATGTGACATTTTTTTGCTCCCCTTTTTTCTGATCATAGTCCAGTCCCCAAAGATATGATATAAATCAGAAAAAAAACAGAATTTATTCACATTGGAGAAGCTGGAGCACCACAAACTCCAGCCTCTAAAACAAAGTCCAAATAAACACTAAAACTATTTCATTAATAACCGAATATTATAACCTTCATGAAGGTAGAATTTAATGCAGGACTGCTGCATCAGACTTTTAGTGAGGTGGACCTAATAAACACTGAGTTTATTTTCACCCAGTGTTACTTCACAGTCCTGTTTTCTGTTTTGTCCACACACCTTCTGGCATTAAGTCTTGAGGGAAACTGTTTTGCATACCTGGTCTCTAGTCTTTCTATGCAGTCTTGTGGATATTTGAAACTAATTTTCTAAACTGAAGCTTAGTTGTGTAGCCATATGCATGCAGCAAATAAAATCTAATTTGTGACTTAATACATTTTACTCAGCAGGATAAATTCACCCTTAAATTAACTTGTGAATCGCAGTGCACCTTGATACTGTGGAACTGATCATTTTAATCACCAAAAGCCATTGTTTAAAAAATATCATACTTGCTAGGCCTAGTTTAGATCTCCAGTAAAGTGGGATTATGGTTAACACTCTTAATGACTAGAATGCCTTACATTCCTCTTGTCATCTATCTCTTGTAAGCTACAAAAATAGATAGGAAATTATTATTTTATCAGCACAAACAATACATTTGTCACTATGCTTAGAAATTTTTCCAATAGTCAGCACGTTTCCTTGCTTTTTATATCCACAGCTGCAAATTCAAAATATACTGTAACACATGTAGATGTTTCCGAGAAGGTGATGACAGAGGCTTCAAATGTGTTATTTTTGGCAGTTTATAATAACATTGTGACGCTGCTGCACAGTACAACATAGCTGGTAACTTTGAGAGCCCACTGTGTCCAACTGTAAACATTACATTTGGACAATTTCCTCCCTTCCTTTTGTCCCCCTCTCACTTCCTTTAATTTGCTGACTGTGGTTTCCAGCTGCCGGAGAACAATAGCCGTGCATACATCCTCCTTTTCTGCTGGCACTAACAGTGTTTGAAATGTAGGTGAAAACAGTGTTTTTGGTGTAAGGTAAAATTCAGGTTTCCCAAGGCAGCAGCAGCAGTCTCCCATGAGAAGGTATCAGTCAGCACAGGCAGCCAGCCACGCTCCTTGAACATGCTAATTCAGTCTCTTTCCTCTATTCCCCGGCTGCACCTCTAGACTCTCCACCGCTCTTGTTCTTCTTGGATGCACATAGATACTTTTTTCCTTTCGTATTCACCTCTCACTTCTCCCCTGTGCACACCTGCTTACACATTTTTCTTTCTGTCACATGTTGACTTTTTTTTTTTTTCCGACTGATAATCAATTATCATTAGATTAACACAGCATGATATATGTGTAGCATTATTTGTCTAAGCATATGGGTAGGTGTGAATGTTTCCTTCTAATTATCCTCGCATCTTTTGGCCAGTGAACGTGTTAGAGATTTCAGTATCATCAGAACAACGTCCTGCCCCACGACTCATACTTGCTTTTTCCACTATTTTAAACAAAAGGCTACACTATTGATTGATGCAGTGTGTTGTGAGGGAGCCTGTCTGGAATTTAGAGCAGAGTGCTCACTGAGAAACAAGGATGTTGGATGGATGCAAGAAACACACACAGTGAGTTTTGGCACTTTGTAAAGAATAGTATTATACAGACCTGGTTATATCTGGTGAGTGTACATCTATACACGCACATGCTTTGACATAAATGCACAGCCCTACTACCTTGCATTTATTCTGTTACACAAGCATAGTCACACACTTGGTTAGTTACACGTGGAACCCGAGGATACTATTTATATTATTCCTAACTCTTTCTCTTTACGTCCCTGTGAGCTGTCATGGTAATCAAAGAGAGAGCTCATGGTGTGAAGGGAAATGGCGTTAGACTAAATGAGATGGATAGGAAGTGCACATACTGTGAACATAACACACATGGAAGGTGGTGAGAATGAATTTAATTATGTCTAGCAGATGTATGTGTAAGATAAACCATCTGCCTGATCAAAACTGACTACTCTTCTCTATATATGATTGTGTATTAACTTGAATCCTTGCTACAGATTTCACAAGTTATCTCAGACTACAGTAACAGGAATGGAGCTATATCCGTATTTGATTAAACTAAATGATCAGGTGTAACACTGAGACCCAGCTGTGAAATTTTTCTCACTCTGAAGGTTGTTTTTCCTCTTTGTCTTGTCAGGCTGAGGAGGGAAAATGGGGAAGAAGGATGCCAGTGCGACCGGATTACCAGTTGATCAGTACCGAAAGCAGATTGGTGAGTCTCCTGTCATCCTAGCGCTGGTTAATCAATTTATTGGTCAATAATAAATTATGTAATCAAATCAAGTAGCAATATATTGATGTTTTGACATTGGTTGGAAACAGATGCTAATAAATGCTCAGATTGCTTTATTGTTTTGTAACTTTAAAGAAATTCTTTGGGCATCTGCCTTTAATATAGCATTTTGAGTACTATTTGACTGACAGTTTAATCAAAAAGATAATCAATATATTAACAGGCAATTAAAACAATAAAGTCTGGTAATTTGTTCATAATGCTTTTTGACAGTTGAGATTGGTCTTCGACTGGTTGTGTAACTGCATTTCAACAAAAATCATTACTCACTGCTTGATGTGAGCAATCGTAACCACAACACAGTAATCAACTCAGCGCTCATAAAAAACAAGCATGTGTTGCAGTAAAACTCTGAGTGTATATCCCAAACTGCTCAACAGCTCACCTCTATTGAAGACCTTTAGCGACACTGGCTATGTAAGAATTAGCATAGTTTCTTTTCACAGCCCTGGAAACTTTTCCAATTTGTACTGGATTGAAAAGAAACTTAAACCCAGACTCACTGGATTAGAACCAGTATACATGCTGTGGAAGTAATTACACATAGAGATGAACAAGCAGCGTCTGAGGTCACATTACTGACGGACAGCACATTCTGCTTAAAACACTGCCCCCTCTGATATCACGTCAGAAGCTGTTTTGTCAAAGTTAAATACCGCTCTAATCCTGCGGTTCTTTGTTTCCCCATCCTTCCCCTTACATCAAAAAGGCCTAACTAAGGCAATATGGTCGGTATCAATCAAAAGTTCGGTCCCCTTCAGCATGCCAGCTGTGGTTGCTTGAAGATCACAGCTCATATCATGTCTTTTTGTTTTTGTTTTCCTCTTGTGGAGCAAAACCAAAAGGTCGCCAGTGGCAAAGCTGGATAATTATGAGCAGCTATGAGTGACGCAAACACACAGGCTTAAAGTTTCTACTTCAAATCCCAGGAGAGGTACATTGTGCACATGAAATGCAGCTAAGTAGTCTTTGTTAGATACAAAAGGTGCCCGATTTCAGATCAAAAAAATGTAGTGAGACTCTCACTAAAGGTCTGGTATTGGTCTTGATCAATGAGGATCCTCACCAAGACCCAGAAGAGAATGAGTTCCTTCATAGAGATGGCAACAATCACAGCTTTAGAGGATGAGTTGAAGAGAGCGACACAATCCAGATGATGAAAGTTACAAAACTAACACTGTGGATTTTTATGAAGGCTAAGTGTATCCATGGTGACTCCTCTGGCCAGGGGAAGTCTCAGAAACAGGTTTCAGAGGTTGTCGTCTTGCATTTCACATTTTAGTTTAAACTTCCTGTTTGACTTTTTTACGTCATCCTGTTCCCCAGGCCTGAAGACTAAAGTTATAAGTGTGACTAAGATTTTTAAGTCTGGAGAACAACAACAGTTGATCTCATCAGTCGATCATCCATGCAACCACAACGCAAGAAGAAGAGGACACCAGAGGGATTCATTGGGCACATGTTCAGGGAGGAGGTTGTATATGAAAGGGGAGATCCCAGATGGCTTAATATTTACCTTGTCCACTTAAATTTTCCCCCAGAAGAGACACTCTGCAACAATGGCTTGTTGAGCACATGACAGAACCTTATCTTTTGGCCTTTCGTATCCAATTTGCCGCCTGATGTTAAAGAGACCTGCGATTTCTTTGATCAGAACTCGAAGGTGAACATTAATCAGGAGGATTCTGAAACTCTGCTAGCTGCCTTTTTAGATGTGTTATCCCTGCATCCAAATAACCCTCTTGAGAGGGTTTCAGAAGCCCTCAAGTTGTTTTCTTGGCTAGAGAAGTGGGGAAAAAAGATACCTGTATTAATGAGGGAACTGGCTTCTTTCTATACTGTTCTTGTCTTGCTTGCAAAAATGCTAAAAATGCATTGCTTTATTAAGTTCTGTGACTGGTAAATCACCCAATATAAAACACTTTATTTCATGTTCACATAGGCCTGTCACATCATATAGCATTGACCACCTCATGGTGTGGGTCCGTCTCAGACCTCAGGTGAGCAGAACCTCAGTGGACCCCCTGTAGTTTGCCTATCACCCTCAGGTAGGAGGCCATCATCTACCTGCTTCAACGAGCCCTTTCTCACCTGGATGAAGCAGGCAGCACTGTGGGAATCATCTTCTTTGACGTCTAAGTGCTTTTAACACAACCTGCTCTAGAATACGCAGGTCGACACCTCCACAATCTCCTGGATTGCTGGCTACCTGACAGATAGACCACAATTTGTGCAGCCAACCAGCAAGGCAGCCAGCCAGTCAGTCAGCCAGCCGGCTAGCTAGCTACCTCGTGTCAAGTCTGACATTGTTCTGGTCCCCTTCCTCCCAGTGGATGGCTGTTTGTTGGCCCCTGGTGATTCACACCCTCTGATTATCCCAGGTTTTATATTTCCTGGTTGTACTGTAGTGTTAACAAGGCTCATGAGACGGTTTCTTAGCCTACATGTATTCTGTTGGTGCATGTTTTTGATTTTGCACCTTCTTATCACTTTCATATAGTGGTTTTTGTATCATATGCTGTTTTTTTGTTTTATTTTCTCATGGTATTTGCCTAAGATTAAAAAAGAAAAATCATTAAACTCACAGAGATCACTATATTTGTCTTTCTCAAGCACGAGATAGCCTGTTGAGATATTTCCCTATTTTTTTTTTTACTCTAAAGAAGCTGGGGTCTCATAAAGTAGTGCAATGGTTGCATATGTTTTCATATTTGGACAGAAGAATCGGATTATTTAGCCTGCAGATATCCCTTAACCGCCTGCCATTGTGTAAAACCCGGTGGGTTCAACAAATGAGAGACAGACATAACATAACAAGCTCATCTCCCACTGTCACATCCCTTACCAGGGGCGCAGAAATCTTGTTCTTTCCTTTTTCCTTCCCATTTAGTGTTTTTCTTTTTGAGCACATCTCATCAATTCAAAAATATGTAACAGAGGTGTCAGGGACACTTTGGTCCTCTCTCTTCTGTCGCCTCCTTCCAAACCCTCAATTTCTACCATTTTTCCTTCCTTTTTGAAAAGAATGGCCATCAGGCAATTTCAGTGAACCACTGTTTAACAGCAAAGGTGGAAAACAGAGAGGGGGAAAAAGACATTGGAGAGGAAAATGAAGTCTTCAAAGATAGCATGGGGCTGTGTCTTCTGAGAGCTGGAATGGGCCACACATGGTAATTTGAAATCGTAATAGGGTGACTTATTCATGGCGCATCAGCAGTAGTCCAGGCTGGTTGTTGAGCTGTACCATCATCTCTGCTGGAGTGCTTTTGTCATGTCAGATGGCCATCAAGGGGCCACTGCTGACACTCTTTTAAAATACCATTATTAAGCCTGTTATAATTGACTGCACCAAGCTGCCCTCTGGAGAGGCAAAGCTTTAGTGTTCTTACATGGAAGTGCAAGTGGTCACTCTGCTGCTGCCCACTGAACAAGCAAGGGAAAATTGTCTGCACAGATAAAGACACCTAAATCTTCAAGTGCAGACTGGCAAATTGGAAAAATATTGGCTTTAGAATGCATCATTTCACATTGTAAAGAAGATTTCACTTAGGAAATTGTCTGTCTTGCAATTAAATATGATACATCTAGATGCAGGTGAAATATTTCACTCACATCTGTGGCTGGGCTTTGGTATATCATCAAAAGAGTACAGTTTACCTCTTCTCTTTATATAACAGTCAATCTTCATTTAGTTGTTTAGAATGCTTCACTCTAAGTCTCGCATACTAATTGCAAAATCCCTTTGAAAAACTGGCAAAAAATGGACTGTTGTCAAGTTGTAATCATATTTTCCATGCATGTCTAAGCTCCACCTGAGATTTGGCCTCCCCTCTCCTCCCATGACATGATGCAAAGGAAAAGGCATAAATATCTCCCATGTGTCTGGCATCAGTCCTCCAGTTCCATTACCATGCATTCTGGCAGATGCCAGCGATCTGCACCATGTGGTCATTGACTATTTGGCCGCCGTGCCAGATAGACACAGAGGCAAATCAAAGCTCGACGAACTGTCAGACACGCTGTCGGTGCATTGCCTGAATCGTCCCAGGATTCTCAGAGAGTACAGGACGGTGGCCTGTCTGTCCAAATCGCCCCATCACACTCCATGTAGTGCACATGCAGTAAGGTTAGTCCCCATAGACACAAACACTCACACACATACTGAATTCCTCAGACATGAGGCGTGTTTCTCTTGACACACTCGTGTGCTTGTTTGTTGTTATGTTGCCTTCATGACAGTTGTGTACAGGAGCTTTTTGAATATTACAGTACTGGCTGCATTTTACGTAGATCGTCAAATGACAAGAAGAAGTAGATTTTTTGTCACAGTAGTAAATGTTATTACTGTAATTCAATCATGTGACACTTTACATAATGGATCGTTTCTTTAGAACTATCCTGACCTGAGGTCACATATCTGCATCCAAAAGAGAAGCAGCAGTTTTTTGTCATATTTGAAACATGGCACAAATTAAATAGAAGCTACTGAATGGACAAGCAGAGTTAATAAGACGCCTGCTCTTCTAAAAACCTTTAACTATTTCATTTCTCAAGCCGGCATAAAGGGCTTGACACAGAAGTCCGTGTTCCATCTGTTTCACTGATCTTCATTGGAGATGAGCAACAAGCAAAGATTTTGGTGGATTTTCTTGAAGCAGGAACTTTGTTAAGCTTAATGCTGCTGCATGTAGTTTTTGATTGATGGCCCATGCTAGGTGGACTTAGCTAAAGATGTTTCTGCAGGATGTGGCATACTGGGTTGGTAATGCAGCTTTGAGCAGCAAGTTATTGTTGCAGTAGCTGATTTTCCACAGTTACTTGACACAGGTTTAAACAAGATGGCAGCAGCTTCAGTTGCCACAGTGTGTGTCCCAGACACAGAATGCAAGTGGGTCTTTAATTTTTTTGTAATCGTAATGAAAGATATCAGTTTAAATGTCTTTTATTACATGATGCATGACTGAAATGTAGAATGTTAGAAATGTGCAATATGCTGGAATCATGACTTTGTCTGAGGCAAGTGATGGTTCTCCAGTGGCGTGAAAACTGTCACAGATAGTTCCCTGCCTGTCATACTCATCAGAATATTAACACACAACAAATACTTACATCTCTTATATAACCACCTCTGCCATGACCTTATGAATCTAGATACATAAGGGTCCAAAATTGAGATTTTGACGTATGGACCCCACTGTATATTTTTAAAAATTAATCCATGGACAAAGTTTCACAAAAACTGTATTTTTTATTTTTGGTTGTACATTTGTACAAGACAATTGGCTGTATATCTTAAGTGTGCACACTAATTTGGTGGTGAAATGGATAAGTTGAACAGCAATGAACAACAATAAGTAATTCACAGTTGAAGCTAAATGTTATCTTCTTGTTGCCAACATCTGATCCGTTCTCACTAAAAGAAACCACAATACAAAAGTCAGTAGTTAAAAAAGAATTCAGTTGATCTGCTTCTCCCCTCCATTATCCGTCTCTTCACCATGAACGAACTGTCCTGTATTTTGTCTATTTACTGCTCCTGTTAGTAATGTGTTTTCTGCTTAAGCTTGTCTGTTTTCCTACATTGTTTTCACCCTGCTCCACTTCTGGATTTATTAAGGCAGGGTCGCATTTAATGGTTTAATGCACTGTTTAAACTGAGTGTGAACATGCAGTATATTCAAACAATACTATATGGCACACATATTTTCTACTGCTACGTCTACCCCTCTTCTTGAGTCATTTTAATGGCCAGATTGTGTGACATGCAAATCACATAGCCCGTGGCTAATTTTAGCTAATACCCCCTACCTGTCTCCTTTAATGCTAAACAGAACAATAGCTCAAGATAAAAACGCAATGACGCAATGATGAAAAACCTGAAACACATTTAAGGGAATCTGCAGTAATGGTGGGGAGGTGAGGGCCACTCTCACTTTTCTCTTGTCCTCTTGACATGAAATCAGTGATGACTTCAATGAAAGGCACTCTCAGAGAAGCCTCTCAGCAGGCACTCCAGGCTGCCTTACAAGGGCTAATGTTCCTCTGAGACACGGCATTGTCGTTGCTGTACAGGAGGACAGTGATGCCTTTTCAGCGTGGCAGGCAGAAGCAGGGAGGGATGGGAGGACGGCGTGTAGCCCAGCGCAGGTAGATAATTGGTGACAGAAAGTGTCTACAGCACCGGTGCAGCAGGGGGAACAGCAATGACTGTTAGGGGAGATTCTTATCATCGATAGTCAAGGCATTCAAAGAAGAGCGTGCGCTGGAGCCCAGGATGTCTTACGCTAAGGATTTATTTAAGCTTGATCAAGGAGAATGGAGGAATCATCAATACAGACTTTTGTGCAATGATGTCACCCCCAATGCTGAGAACCCCTGAGGGACCCCTGTGGGTAGTTTTTATGCAGTTCTAAACATTACTATAGATAACCTACGCCGCATATTCAGTCCAATCTCTAATAGAAGAGGAATGTGTGAGCATTCTGTTGGTTCATTAACCATAAACAAGTAAACATGATTTGCACACGCCCAGGTGCTGGTCTCAAAACACCGAGCCACTTCTTACTGACCGTCCAAGGTGCCAGCAATATCAGCAGAAACCGCAGCTGTGTCTGGAGGTGCCACCTGAGCATCTCCTCCTGTAAGATGTAATGCGGTAACTGTGGCAACATGACTTAGGGGTCTCATGTTCACCTTTCACCCTGAGCCAATTCATTCATTCATGGTGAGCATATAGAAAACTACCTTACAATGACAAATAGGAGTGCTCATAATCCCAGTTCAATATCATCGTGCGTGTGTGTGTGTGTGTCTGTGTCTGTGTGCGTGGGTGTTCAGGCTCTAGACCCACGCAAACAAGCCACAGGAGAAAGGCAACATGAGGTTCTAATAAGTGCAGCACCGTAAAACAATGACATTACAACACCTTACACAGTCAGATGTAATTCTTTGGCATTTCTCCTCCATATCAATGATTCATACTCCTACTTGGTGTAATTATTCTGATTTTGCTCCAGTTAAGTATTGATTCTTACCAGATGGTTATGGGTGTATCGGGTTGTGATGATTTGTTGCATATAAACATAATTTCTCCGTGTAGACGTGGAACAAGTTTATCCCCATGCGTGAGTAAAACAGCACAGGTGCATGTTTTGGAAGCAGTTTGTGGGAGAAACTGTAAATGCTGAAGAAAAAAAAAAATCTGCCTTTGAAATCTAAACCCCAGCTTGCTTAAGTACTGATATTGTTTTGAGTGTGCATTATTGTTTTTCTTTTTTTTTTTTTTTTTTGCTGCAGAAAAGGTACCATGAGGACACAGATTGCCAAACAAAGTAAACTAGTATTGAAACAGAAAGTGCAGATAGTTGACTTGTGGGCTTCAGTTTAAAGTCCGTGTACAACTTTTTTCTTGCTTAACATTTAAACAAACAGGGCTTACAAATCTGTATTTTCAATAATATATTCAATAATAATTCCCTTGTATATTTCTCTATCCATTTTTTTTCTTGCATGTTGGTCTTGTAGTGTTTTTATGTAGCTTCCTGCAGCCTTACATTACCACAACCAGCCATTTTGCAGTCTGAAAGTCCTTGCACCATTTCTGTGAATGGAGAACAACCTAAGGTGCCCTCCAATCAAATTTCCCCCTCTCCACTTTCTGACAAGTGGAGGAGACATCCAGTGGCCCTCCTAATGAATTCCCACTAGCTCACTGTCTGCTCCTGGCAACATGCTCCCCATTTCTATTAGCCCTCCACTGAGTCGGAGGGAGGTGTAGGAGGAGTCCGGACCAGGAGGGATGGAGAAAGAGAGAGGAATTGAGTGCAAGATCTCAGAAAAAGAGAAGCAAGGGGAGTGAGATGGTTGTTTGAAAAAGAGCCAGTTTGTGTAGTATGCAGCTCTGTCTGTTTGTTTTCAGAATCTCACAATATAAACACAACTCTGTGCCCCTCCTGTCTCACTGGCTCATTTTCAGTCTTTTCTCTCCCACAGCCTCTCCAGAGCGATGTGGACGCTTTTTTTTCTCCTTCCTTCCCTCTTCCAATGTTAATGAGACTCAATTGGCTGGGACTAAAAACTCTGCATGTCACATCACTAACTGAGAAAGCCTCTAAGCTGACCCGGGGGCTTGGTCTCTCTCTGTCAAACACACATTATTCTATCCTCATGAGGACCATCCATGGATTCCAAAGCCTGTCAGCTCTCGCCCTAATCATAGTCTAATCCTATCCTGTAACTGAAGTCCTAAAAATATCATCTTTAAGGACTTGGTAATATGTCCACAGTCTGAGCATTAGGTTCTCACAAAGATAGAAGTTCAAGAACACACACACACACACACACACACACACACACACACACACACACACACACACACACACACACACACACACACTGTTCAGCAAGCTGTTGCCTTTCCACCCTATTGTTAGCAAAGTTCCTTTTCCTGCCGTGTGTTGTTTCTAATTAGACCCAGACAGGCGGCTCTGCCTCCTGTGAATCCGAGACACACACACACACACACACACACACACACACACACACACACACACACACACACACACACACACACACACACACACACACACACACACACACTTCACCAGGTGGCCAGTTTGCCCAAAAGACTCACCCTTGAGACTTGTGCCCATGGGAAGTCAACTAAGCGCAGGTGAACAGTGTGCAGCTCAGGCCAGAAAAATGCTCTGTATTTTGGATGCACGTGCAGAACATTGTAGCTTGTGAACTTGTGAAATTTCAGAACTATATTCAACCGTCATTTATCCTCACTTGTATTCATTTGTTAAGCATGTGACAATATTACAAGGTACAGAAGAAGTCAGAAGTCTGAGAAGGCTTTGAGCTTCATTACTGCCTCAGTTAAAACATATGAATCTTCAATCAAACTTATCCATGAGCTGCATCATTCTTCTTGTCATTTAGAGTAAATATGAATGGAGGAAAACTGCAAATGAAGCCGGGCTTTGAAATTGCAGCAGAGCTTAATACCACAACAAAACATGGTATTCAAAATGACAATCAGGTGGTTGTGTACTGATTAGATTTTCTTCTCTCTTTCAGGGAAACAGGACTACAAAAAGACAAAGTCGGTCTTAAAGGCCACACGGCTGAAAGCTGAAGCAAAGAAGAATTCCTCTGGATTCAGGGTGAGACTTTCCTGGACTTACTTTCTGTTTCACATTACTGATGTCTGTTATCTGCATGTCTTCTTCTATGTCTGCCTGCCTGTTCTGGCCCATCTGCCTGTCTGTCTTTCTGCCAACCATCTTCTTTCCATTTGTCTGTGTGTCTGTCTGCCTGTCTGTTTGAGAGCCTGCCTCACTAGATCACATTTGATATCCAAGACGCTTAGCTCTTTTTACAACTTAATGTATGTCTTTTGGGAAAGGTAACAGTATATATCCATCTGAAATGATGTGACGTGGCCCCCCTGCCTATCTGTTGAAGATCTGTAAAAGTGTTGAAAACTATCACTGAGGAAAGAAAGGGTCTCTGTAGAATAAAGTTTACAATACTCGATCACATCTACAATAGAGAAGAAGACATAACATACAGCTTTTTAAAACATGAATTCCTGGAAGGATTTACATTCAAGAGTTTCCTTATTCATTTGATGGTAAAAGAGCAAAGGAGCGGGACAAGGAAAGAGAGATAGAGGTGTGGGATATCTCTCTCTATTAAAAGCAGAAAAGAAAAAAGAGGGGGGGGGGGGGGGGGGGGGCTGATGAGTGATTTGCGGGTAGGACACACTCACCGCTAGCTCCAGTAGATCTTGTAAAATTTTAGAGTGAAGTATTGACGTAGGAAGTTTACCAATGGTGCAATCAATGTTTCAGAGGAATCAAAAGGAAGAAATATGAAGAAAATTCTGAATAAAAAAGATATTACAAAGTTGGACTCGAATGACGAAACGGGCCCAGACAAAGCCTTGGGCTCAACCAAAAATTTCAGCAACTTTATGAAAAATTGTACACTTCTCAAGCCCACAGGTTACGAGACAGTTTTGTTTACACATGTAAACTGCCCACAGTAGCTCAGAGAGATGGGAGTTCTTGGAGACAGAAATCACATGTTAGGAAATAAGAAAAACAGTTAACACCATAGAAAATGGTGAGAGTGAAGGGCCAGACGGGATATGCAATGAGTTTTCTTAAAAAAAAAAAAAAAAAAAAAAAAAAAAAAGAGTTCAACAACTTAAACACAGAACATGTATAAGAAGGCTTTTTAAGTGCGCATGCTAACATTGACATTAAGTGAAGTAACTGTAATACTTATATCAAAGACAGGGAGGGACTCAGAGCAGGTGGATGTCACTATTAAACACACATCAGAAAATCTTGGCCAAGTCCCTAGCTAGAAGACTCAGTCTCCATATGGCTGGTACACCCAGATCTGGCAGGGACGTGCACTTAGTCCCTTCTTGTTTGTACCTACATTGAGGAAACGATTCGGACACAGGGAAATACATGATTATAACACTGAATTTACTCCTATTTGTACTGTGTTACAAGAAAGATGTGCCGACATTTAAATCCTGGATAAACAACACTGACTGATACCCTCCACCTGAATCTGACATATCCTCAGTGACAGACTGGAGGGATTTGAACGGACTTGGACACCAATGATCTCTTATATGGAAAGGATGGATGATGTTAAGATGCACAGCTCAAACAGGAAACGTTAATACCTCTAGATGGCGCTCTTCTGAGATGGGAGATGGGAGACTTTTTTTTTATTCCAAGGTGTTTTTTTGGGTTTTTTTTTCTCATGGTGTTTATTGGCTTGTTTGTTGGCCTCTTTTCCCTCCTCTGTATTGTTAGTCTGTTGCTGTTATAAACTTGAAATGAAGCATTATGTCCATTCTGAAATTTTGTATCACTGTATCACTGCTTTTAAAAATATTTGACATGGAGAGACTGTAAAAGAGAAAAGGAATAAGAAAGTGACACGATAGAGTTGGGGGGATGTGAAAGTAAAGGGAGCTGAGGGTGTTGGCAGGGTAGAAAAGTGCGTCTCTCTCCGCTGCTTTGTCACACTGCAGCGATTAGGGGCAGGCAAAGATGGATGACTCCACGTTTATCACTCTGGCAAACGTGCCACCGCTGTTTATGCTTTACCTCATTCATTTGGCTTGCCAACAAACATTTTTACTATTTCAAGGTTTTTCCTTTTGCCAATGAAATAGCTTGCGATTCTACAGTCTTAGGTTTTTAAATCCTCTTTGAAATTGCAAATACCATCAGATGAAATCAAGCCCTCAGTGATTTTTTTCATAGTTGTTTTTAAGTGAAAGTCAGTTGTAAGAAAATATATCTCTCAGACATGTCCGCTGTTATTTTTTGCTTGTTTGTTTTTCCTTCGTGGCATTGGAAAATTGGTTCTGTTTACAGTACATCAAAAGCCAAAAGGCTTCACTTCCTCATTAAGCTTCAGTTGGCATGTAGTACACAGAGATGAACAAATCATAGCGAGGATTAAACACTGGGTGAAATGGTCAGGTTTTAAAATATGCATCTCTTAGACACGCACGGCCTCATTAAGCACGTCTTTAATCCAATTAGATTAGTCCATATCTTGAAATATTGATATTGCTCATAAATAATTCAGGTTTTTCACGCCCAAGACGAGGGAATTTTCAGAGGTCGGATTAAAAATACCTCTGGGACGAGGATATTAAACTGACTTAGACCTCTTGGCCCTGAGTTCGATTGAAATTCAGCCCAGATGTAATGGATATTTGGTCACGCTTGCTTTCCCATCGAGTCCTTTTTAGCGTTATATAAAGTTGTGATTTTTACACAGCTCTGTGATGACAGGAGAAAGCCCCGCCACCCCCAGTCTCTGAACCTTTGGTTGCCGGAAATGATTTGACTGGTTTATATGTTTATAAAGGCATGTTGCTCTATGCGTAAATCCTCTCTTCTCTTCTCTTCTGTTGAAATGCTGGTCTCAGATGCAGCTGGCATCTCAAAAGGGCCAGCAGACATGCGGGCACAGAGAATCTGGCAGCTACCAGGGCAGGCTGTCTCGGGGCTGTCCTAGTAGCAGGGCAGTCTGGATAAGTTGGCAAAGAAAAAGATGGAGAGACTAGGAAAGACAGAGTGACAAAGGGAGAACTTCTGTTCCCTCAACAGTGATCAGTTGTCTGGGTTGCAAAAAAAAACGTTGACCTGAGAAATGGCGGAAACCAGCCACCTGTTGTATATGTGCCTGTTTTTGTACGCATGTCGAGTCACGGTGTGTTTATGAAAGTAGCGTTGGTCGGCTGAATGTGAATCTGCGGCTCCCCTAAACGACGGATAACATCAGGTCACGACAGCAGAGATGAAGAAACTGGCAGGAGGTCTTGCTACAGTCTCTCCTCAGGTTGCTCAGACAAGAAGAAGCACCTTCGAAGTAGCTCCAGCACACTAGCTTGCAGCACAGGAAACAAGCCTAATTGGCACTCTAGCCTTCTGTTCAGTTCTGCACTGCTTTCCCTCAGTCTTTTTTAGTCGCCTAGAAAGTTGGGAAAATGTGGAATTGGCAGAGGATGGAGGCTACCAGCTGTCATTTGTGAATGTATGTTGTGTGAAGACCATATAGAACAGGATTTTTTTTTTTTAGTTTTTTTTTTTTTTAGTTTTAGCAAAGAATTACAAGCATTTTTACTCTTTTCCCACCCAAGTTCTTCTATTCTGCAACATGCTTATACCATTAATATTTCTTGTGTCAAGAAGTTTTATCTTGAAGGAGCACTTCTGATTAATAAGTGCAGCAATTATTGAGTGCCATCCAGAGTTATTGCTAGCAAACTCTGAAGTGAAAAAGTTTCTGTATAAACTGTGAAGGATGCTGCGCTGAAAACCTTAGATTCAAACTGTAGCATCTGCTTCAGCCTCCAACTGAAGCGGACGTCTGGATCTGTTATCTGTTCTGGCCATTAGGTTTATGAGGCTCATTCACACTTTTTAGTTTGACAGATAGCACATGGGAATTCTGTAGACCTTTTTATTGACACTTAATTTACTATAATCTTCATGAAAAACTTGGTGAGTGGTGACGGTGATGATGAGGCTTTTCCTGTTCACAGAAATGTTTTTTTTTTTTTTTTTTTTTTTACAAGTGTCCCTGAAGCATGAAGGAAGGACAGAGCTGTATAAGGAGTTTTAGTTATGTAAAAGGCCTGTTTGTTTCATTTAAGATAATCAGTGGATATAAAGGGAAAGTAGGTTATGGCTTTTAGCAAAATTTGATAATGGCATACACTGTGTATGGATAACAGCAGCTATGGTGACTTACATTTGAAATGATTAGTCCATTAATTGATTAGTTTGATCGTCAGATTGTCATCAAAAACAACTTTAATAATCAATCATTCTAAGTCATGTAGGAAGAAAAAATGTGAGTTTTCATCCTCTAATATGTGAGAATTTTCTTTATCTGTATTTTATATGATTAGAAATTGAATAATCTTGGTGTGTTTGTTGGGCAAAACAAGTTATATGAAGATTTATTTTTGGGATCTGGGAAGCTGTGTTAGGCATTCCTTTTGCTATTTTCTGACATTTTATAGACAAAATGATTAATTAAAAAAAAAAATAGAAAAACCTGCACTGAAAATAATCATTGACTGGAGCCGAAACGTAACAGCAACGTTCATGTAACCAGTATTGAACTATAACCTGATGGCTGGTTATTTGTCGCTGTGACACCATCACAGATGAGACTCCAGCCGCAGCCCAAATGCACCAACAGTTGTTTGTAGCTTGTGTTTTTCTGCCACCCACATACAGCCACAAACGCACTGAAAGTCTCTTGCTTAGCACGTAGGCGCACACAGACTGACATACACGTACGCACACAAACAAACCCAGGAGGAGAATAAAAGGCAGACCAGATGAGGGGATGTCTGTCGAGCTGTGGCTTGTCGCCAAGGTGACAGAGACCCAGCTCCCAGCATGCTGAGTGTGCTGCAGCTGCCGCCGGTGCTAAGAGGGCCACATGATGAAGATGATGATGTGCTTGGGCCCCATCCAGGGGTCTCCATCAGAATGTGGGCAGAGAGGCTGTGTGTGTGCGTGTGTGTGTGTGCGTGCGTGCGTGCGTGCGTGCGTGCGTGCGTGCGTGCGTGCGCACATAAACGTGTTTGTGAGACAAGACAAGAGTCAACACAGTGGGCCACTCTTGAAAACAATGATCTCAATCAAGTGCAGGTGCTTTCTACCACTCAAGTGTTTTCACCAAAACCCCTCCAGCTTGTTTTCATAGACAAGTCACTGTAACCAGCTGTTCTCTTTCT